GCAATTTCGTGATTCTCTTTGTGATACTAGACCTGATGTGAATCTCATACCAAAGACCATTGCAGAGAATATAGGTATTTCAATTTTTCATCCTTTTAAGATTTACATCCAGTATGGAGGTTTTTCTGGTGCAGCTCCACTCGGTTTCAAATCCGAATTGCCTTTTCAAGGGGAAGTTTGTCTTGTTTCTACTGATTTTCATGTTATGGAGATGAGAAAGGATGGAACAAAACCTTTGATATTTGGTACTTTGTTCCTGGCATATGTTGAAACACTTATCGACTACCCGAATCAATGTATGAGTTTCACAAAGATCGACAAGAAAACCTCACATCCGGCGATTCCTACAAGGAACTCTCATTGTCTGACAATAGGCAGCGTAGATGATCCAATATTTGACCCTAGAGGAACTAGAAAGGATGTTGGATACGTTCTAGAAAGAAGAGCACCCAAAGAAAATGCTGGATTTACAAGTTTGACGTACAAAGATACTTCCTTATGTACACCTTCAACTAATGCTCATATAAGAGGTGATGGAGACTTAATTGAAGCAATAGTGAAGCTTAAATGGCTCTCAAGACTCTTTTTCGAAGATTCTCCACAAGGAAAAAGAATTGGAGACAAGAAGCAAGACGATCTGGACATCTCTCCTCGGACATTCGGCACCGCGGTCGCGAGTGTGCTACCAGCGGCCAACCCATGTTTCTCCGCGGTCACGACACTTGCACCTGCGGCCAAACCACCTTTCACCGCGGTTGCAACACTTCCACCCGCGGCCAATGCTCTTTTGACCAATTCTCCAACAGTTCAAGCCATGATGACACCTCTCCAAGCAAACTGTCCTCACCTTGGATGCTTAACCATCTCTATCACTTCAGATCATAAAGAATCATCTGTCCTTGTATCTTGCGACATGGTTCAATGTAGTGAGAGAGACCTTATTCACCTCATCATACAAGCATCTAAACGTTCTCCTATCACAAGTGGTGTTGAAGACTCATACCTCAAAGAAGTTCCAAGACTGATTTTTGATCCTGGAGGAGGCTACCATCTCAAACCTAATGATGAAATTTCCAATTAGGAATGGCGTTATAAGGGATATACAAAGGAAAGACAAGGAGAATCAAAAAGGACTTGTCCCAAGACATTGCCTTTTAAGGACTAAGTCACGTCCTACACCAAAGTAGAGTTAAACGACTTAAAACAAAAGCGCTTAATGGGTGGCAACCCATTTAGGAATTGTTTTTTTTAGTTTTTTTTTCTTTCTTTTTCTATTGATCTTTTTCTTTTTCTTAGTTTCAGGTGTTTGTTATAAATCAAAAAGCCAAAAGAATCAAAAAACCAAAAAAACCAATAAGAAAGATGGTCCCTGACTGCTCGGCCCAGCAGGAACCAAGGAGAAGCAGGAAACAGGCCGCATTTAAGCCCCTGCGGTCGCAGACTTTTGGACAGTGGGAAACACCACTTCGACCACGGATGCGTCTTTCTGACCCCGGCCGGACACCAGTTTACCGCGGTCGCGTGACCCCTGACCGCGGCAAATAGTTGTTCAGATGATACCCGAGCCCAATCCACCCACTTCACCTCATTTCACCTCACCAAGCCCCACTCCACCTCATTCATCACTTCCCACCACCTCCCATCACCACTTATCACCTTCCGAAACCTTTACGAATGAATCTGGTCCATCTCCACCAGCATCCCGGATCTAGGTAAGTCCTCCTTGGCCTTACCAAATTCGATTATCTATGCATTATTCTCATCCAATCTCGACTTGTTTCACACTGAGGACAGTGTGATTTAAGTCTGGGGTAGGATTTCATCCATTTCTAACCACTTTTCTTTCATGAGTCTTGCATTATCTACACTTTTTGCATTTTTCTTAAAGTTTTTCAAAATCGATTTTCAAAACAAAATACTTCTTAAAGGGAAAGGTGAACATGAATCAATGATAGATGACTGTGTGCTTTTAGACTGTTCCTAGTGACATGCTCATTCATTATTTAGGACTAGACTAGGCGGTAGCTAAGCACATTTGAAACGAAGTACCCCAGAGGAATTTGAATGAATTCGATTTAGATGAAGGAATACACTAGCTCTGTTTTATTTGGACCTAACTTGGACTTAATTCTCTCATTAAAGCATTAGACCAGGGAAACAAATCATACATTCAGGACTCTTTTACCCTTTTACCACTCTCTGTTGATCCTGAATGGCTAGTTCATCTTTAGCTAGTTCCCCACCGTAACTAAGCCTCTTTCAAACCACATGCACTCTTGTTTTCTACTGTCTTGTATGCAGATATATGTAAACACGTTGGAGAGAAAGAGGTACGACGCAGTTTTTAGTCACCAAAGACAGAGACCTGCGATTTTGCCGGAAAACTTCCCGGAAGGATTCAACACATGAAGGAACTCAGTTTCCCTTAGAAAAATCTCAAATTTTTGGTACAATCTCGTCCTCTAGTCTCTCTCTCTTCAAAAAGAATTTTCCCTTTCCAAAAAAAAAAATCCAAAAATAGGAAAGGAAAGGAAATAAAAGCCTTAGAGAGTCAAGAGAGGTCGAATTTTAAGTCCTAAGGCAGCTAGAGTTCGATTTTATGGAGTTTTGGAGATCATTTTTCTGATTCCCGTAAAGAATCTAAAACTAGGGGAATAACTGTTCACATACAAAGGAGGAAGGATTATGCAACAACGTTTGGCAAGAAGAAGTGACTGAAAATTGTGGTCATCAACAGGTCCTTATCTCTCTTGCGGTTTTGCATATTATCTTGCATCCTCCAGATTCATCAGATAACCTGAAACACTTTAACTCCACCACTTAAACAGCCCTTAATACCAAACGCCGTCTACCCTGGATGATGTTTTTGATGAAAAATCACTTTTGCACTTTATGAATGTAGAGAGCTAGTTGACTGGAATCAAGATTTAGATTGTTTTAAGTTTTGCATGACGGAAAAAGTGGACTAGTATCTTTTGTGTCATGGTGAGAATTTTCTAGACTAAGTTGTGAACGTGCATTTCCTATTTTTGTTTTCACTTAACCAGTTTAGACTTTTGCTTTGTTTGGGGACAAACAAAGGTTTAAGTATGGAGGAGTTGATAACACCGTATTTTGACTACTTTTATGGATCGTTTTGAAACACATTTTCTATGTTTTTTATTGCTTTCAAGTACTTTTATTATTTTTTCTAGTATTTGTAGTTCCAAGACTCTTTTCAGGAAACTTAGGGAAAAGCTTAACAAAATGGATAGAAGACCAGATTTTCAGCTCAGAGTCAAAACGTCAGAAGTTCACCCCTGATTGAAAGCCTTCTCACCGTCTGATCCAGCTCAAATTTGGAGACCTCAAAGATGGAACTATCAGCTTTCCAGCACATTTTACAGCTTGGCAATCCAACGGTTCAATCAAACGTTACACGAAGAGCAAGATGTCCCGTAAACCAGCCGGCAAGCATTTCCACCCGCGGTCAACAGCCATTTCACCACGGTCAGAGGCTATCCGACCACGGCCAAGCATCCATTCCCCGCGGCCACGCACTTCCCGACCGCGGCCAGCCAACTCCGAGTTAGAAGACCCATTTCTGAAGCCCAAATCATTTTTTCATCCTCAATTTCGGAACCCTAGACACCAAAGAGAATTGGAGACTATAAATACTTTCATTTAGGTCATTTTTAAGAGAAACGAAATACTTTAGAAGAAATTTTACTTTAAGCTTTTGTTGTTAGGTTTAGGGAGAGAGAGATCTATCTCTTGAACCTTTGTTCTTTCTTTTTTAATTTCGATTATTGCTCTACTTTTTAATACTATGTTTTTGATTTCGTTCATCATGTCTGAGTAGTTTTATTGTTGGGTCAAAGGGATTTTCGATGGGGATATATATGTTCGATGAGGATTTCATGAGCTATTGAAGCCGAATCTTAGAACTTTTTCTTCTGGATATACTTTTACTGCATGAGAGTAGCGTCATGAACTAAAATCTGATCCAGATGCTTGGTGACACGAAAGTGTTCATCCGGTGTCAGATCTAGTTTGGGAGAGCAAAACAAACATAGGAGTGGAAACCTACCTATGGGCGATTTGTGAATGTTGACGAGTTTCAAACATAATGCATTTTTTCTCTTCCAGGGCCAGAGTGGAAACCTACTGGTTAGGGTTGAGAGAGATAGTTTTCTATGATCACGACAGTGACGTATTCATACGTCCGTGACTCTAGTTCGAAAAGTTTTAGCTATGATCTTATCGAATTTACTCTTTAGCAATGTTTTGAATCGTTCATACCCCAGAGAAAACTTCTCTGAAACCCAGCATCTTCTTTTCTATAGATTTACATCGATTTTATTTCAAACTTTAGTTCATCATTTTCATTCCCTTAATCGATTTTCATTTAAGCAATTAGGTTTAGTCTTTTTTCTCGTTTTTAGTCGATTTCATTAAGTTTAGTTATTAGATCATTTTAATTCCCGTATTTTCTCGTTAAAATTAGTTTTTACGTTTTAAAGATACCACCAAAATCCTTACAAAAATCGCTTACTTTATATTTCTTTCGAAAGCTTTTGCAGGAAAGATCCTCCTTCCATATGGATTCGATCCCTAAGTACTACAATCGATCAATTGTACACTTGCGGCTATTAATTTCATTTAAGATAAAACTTGACACCCTTACAATACCACACATCAATGCCCATCTCAAATAATGAAATAACCAAAGGCTACTTAAATCTTCCATATTTGACCTGTTATCCAATACATTATTAAGTATAATTTTTCAATAGCCCAGTTACCCGTTCTTAATCTTTATCCACTATTTTAAATCTTGTTTTTTATGATCATCATTTCTCAATCCGAAAATGGACAACCTTAAATGACATCAACAATTCTGTTTTTAAAATGAGATGAAACTCGGTCCAAACTGAAAATGTGTTTCTATATGGTATTTGAAACTTGGTCCCAAATTGAAAATGCATTCCTAGTATAGAATACGATAGTAAAAACGGTGAAATCGATCGATTGAGACACAAATATTTAGCTTTAATTTCTTACAAGACATGCAAGACAAAGTTATGTTAAACATGGGACAAGGAAAGAGATACATAGTTTATTAGACTAAAAGTTAAACACAGATTTAAAGATCAAGTCTACGGCTGCTAGATTAGAATTTTGACTAGGCTAAAAGCCAGAAATTCTTCTGCCATCGTGTGTTAATCAAGTAGCCACTAACACCATTGCTTTGTTTCCTCACACCAATTGTCAAGCAATCTGCACCGTTGATGCACCGATTCACGAGCTCTTCGGATCTACTGGGTCCACATAAGCTACACGTACAAAACGACAAAATAAATTATTGAAACGAGAGAATCATGATGGGGAAAAAGAGATCTGACGGTTGAGATTACGCACCAGGAGATGAATGGTGCAGATTTTTTCTGACCCAATACAAGAACAGAGACTTCAAGTTTCTTCACTTGGCTGAGTACAGTTGCTAACTTTGGTCCTTGAATCACCAGTGCCTCCACATCCACCTAATTATTCAAGATAACATAAATATTAATTTAGATTCTCATAATTTATCTTAAATCATCTAATCTTTTTAAATCTATTATTTACATGCATTTCTTGATGCCAAAAAATGGAGATTAGTATTTACATTTCTTTAACTTCTCCAAAGTAATAATAAAAAAAAAACTCTTTGAAGTGACTAGTTACAATTTAAAAAATGGAGAATAATAATATTTGAAATCTTAAAAATTACGAAAAACTATACTTGATTACATGTTGTAGTTGTTTTCAAATAACTTTTCTTTTGAAATGCTAAAAAAACTATTCTAAAATGGTTAAGTACGATTTTTGAAGTAACAAATATTCATGTTACCAATACCACCAAGCACTAACTAACACTTAAGATCTAATAGCCAATTTTAAACATTAGATCTAAACTAGGAAAAAGTTGGATCTTTAACTGAAAAAGCTTACAATCGGAATGATGAAAATACTTTTACATCCATTTTTTAATTACAAATTATTAAAAAAAAAAGAAAAAGGTGAGGAGCCAGTGGAATCAATTTGTCACTATGACCATCATTGACGCATGCAAGTATCACTACTCAAGTAGCTCAAAACATCTTACCATTAACAAAAGAGAAAATTTAAACCCAAATGCTAATTATTACACTTCACTAGCTAAGTCCTTCAATGGGTAGTAGGATTAGTAGTGTTAAAAGTAAGTTTTTGGTTTTTGTTATAAAAAACTTACTAATCAATTTATCAAGATTTCAAGAATTTGGTTTTCCTAAAAACTACCTTATTCTATCTGAAAAACTAAAAAAAATACTTTTTGTCTTTAAATTTCTCCGTAAAAAATAAAATCTAAAAACCAAAAATATACAGACATTTAAAGCCTAATAGTTTTGAAAATCCTACATAAAAATAGTATTTTAGAGTAAATTAATTAAGTACCTCGGGTTTACAAGCTTTGCAAAGTGAACCAAGTGATTGAACCAACGAAGGAGAAGCTTCATCATGAGGAGACACAACATGAAGAAGAGTCATCAAATCTCCTGTACTAGTCAAATGTGTCAAAGCCCACATCATAGCATGTTTCGACCTCGAAGTCTCATCCACAACAACCATCACTCTCTTACTTCTCGCCACCGTATCACCGCCGGAGTAAATCCCATAAAGACCCTCCATTGAAGAGTAACCACCACCACCACCGCCTGTTTCGTCCGTGAAAGCCGTTGAGCTATCTCCCGATGTCCACCTTCTAGAAGCCGACCTCCAACCTTCTTTTCTGCTTAGTTGCCTAAGAATTGAGTTTCTTGAAAACTGCATTTCTTGGGGTTATTAGTGATGGGAACTAGAAGCTTTTGTAGTGTGAATCAAGAAAGAGAAAGAGTAGGTAGTAGGGGACTATTATGAGAAAGTGTAGAGGCTTTGGTTTTAACTCGAAACAGTGAAATGGAGAGAGAGAGAGAGAGAGAGAGAGAGAGAGAGAGAGAGAGAGAGAGAGAGAGAGAGAGAGAGAGAGAGAGAGAGAGAGAGAGAGAGAGAGAGAGAGAGAGAGAGAGAGAGAGAGAGAGAGAGAGTAATGGGTTTTGTTAATAAAGAGTGAGAGACAGAGCATTAAGGCTGAATCACATGTCCACAATAAAGTGTATTATTAAATTTCTAAACTTTAAGCAACCAACAGTAGAATTATTTTTTATTTTTTAAGAAATTTTTTGTTTGGTTTGGGTTTAGAGACTTTAGTTATGTTTTCTTGTAAGAAAACTCCATTTCCACAACGTAAATAAAATTCAAAACTTTTGAAGCATTTTGATTCGTTTGGTTTATTTGGGCTAAAACTAGTACTAGTTAGAAACTGAAGAATAGGCCTGTCATCAAAAATGTTTTAAAATTTGTCAGTTTTATGCACTATTTTAAAATTTGTCAGTTTTATGCACTATTTTAACAATTTGCTCACTCTTTAATGTGTGGATCAAACTTTTATAAATCATAGGACAATACAAATGGCGGGACTTCATATTTCCTCAATTTTGTAATAAGTATATAGTTTTTAGACGACCGTCATGACTAGTGATGTTATACAACAGTTATGACATTTACAATCTTTTGTAACATTGCCATGTATTTAGAATACATCAGTTATAACTTTCTTCGTAATACATTTTTGGAATCATTGATCGAATTATTTCGTAGTGTGAGAAGATGAGGACTATAGGATAGGCGATTTCAACTACTAAAACACGAATAAGTTGCTTCACTTAGTACTTAAGCTTGAGCCCTCTCGTGCAGTAGGGGGCCGTAAATAATTTATCCTGAGACAATAACATAGTCAACATAACTTCTGTGAATACAGAAATGAATTTTTCCGATGATTTTTCAATGAGAAAATGCTTCTACTCAAAAAAAAAATTGCTATAGGAAATTGATGTAGACGCATGTAATCGACTCTGAAAAGGCAGTGATTGTGGTTTATCTACCGGAAATACTTCAAAATCAATTTAATAACATATCATAAAATATCCTACGTTGTGATTAACCTTTACTATTCATTTGGTCAACATTTCCAACTTTTAAAGTTACCAAAAATAATTAGGAATTCGTCGATCTTTGATCAGCAAGACTAACGAGTCATCGACACCACCAACATTTTTTTAGGGAGGATTACTCAAGTATACTCTAAACCAATGTTTATTAATAGTTTGACACACTTTTATTTTTTATGCTAGATTAATTTCGTATACCGATCTTGTTCTTTTGGGCTTTGTTGAAAAAAACATTATTACGAAAATGTCATTATTTTTTATATGTTACGTAAGCAAAAAATAGCACGACATTATGCATAAGTCTACCACTATTTGTAGCAGACTTGTTTAAATTTGGTCAACGCAAATTTTTATTGGTAGATTTATTTGAGAGTTGGTAGATTTGTTGAACCTTAGTAGACTTGTTTTGATAGACTTATTTTTATAGCATAGTAGACTTATTTTTTGTTGGTAGACATATTTATTGTTGGTAGATTTATTATCTTTAATGATAGTACTTATGAAAATATCGTTGACTTATAGTAAGTGTTTGACTTTTTTGGTAGATTTAAATAGTAATGGCAACAGATTTATTTGTAATGGTGACAGATTTATTTAGTTTGATGTATAGTAGACTTATTTTGCTTGGTAGATTTATTGCTATTAATAGTAGCTTTATCAGGATTTGGTAGACTTATTCGTATGTATGGTAGACTTAAAACAGTTGTATTTTAGAAAATAATGTGGTAGATTTAATTATAAGTATGGTAGGTTTATTAAATTTTAGTAGATTTAATATTTGTAATTTACAATACTGATAGACTTATGTTTGTATTTTGTTCTTACTCAAATAACCTGCACTTTGAAAAGAAATCTTTAGTTTAGTAGACTTATAATTATTTGGGTGATGGTAGACTTATGAAGCTGGTTTATAGTAGACATTTGACTTTTTTAAAATTTAAAAAGATATTTTTGCCCAAATTTGTCCGTAAATATTACAAAAAAAACTGATTGTGTCATCTTCTTCGATTAGGGTTGCAGCCGTCGAAGTGTGATACTTAAAAATTTATATTTTATGGTAAACATGTTATTTGAATAACCACTTGTAGTATTCTTATTTATATTTTATAGTAGACATATTATTTGAAGTAGCATTTGTAGTAGACTTATTCACATGTTTCATAAGCAGATCAAGGTTGAAGATGCCAAACTTTTGGCTGTGCAAGTTATTGACGCAGATCAGTCAGAGGTTATTGGCACAAATTCTGCCCATGTCGTCAATTTGAAAGAAAAAACATGTACCTGCCGTCGGTTTGATCTTGATAAAATCTCTTGTGTACATGTCATAGCCGCTGCGGAAGTAAGAAAAACTTCACGAATCTCCCTATACCATCCTACTACCAAACAAATTACTTGCAACATGCTTACGCAGGAAGTGTAATGCCAAGAGATATAGCACTACCACTACAAGAAAGATCGGGTTTTACGTCGGCAGATATCGACGTAAAATCGACGTAAAAGAGCATTTAAGTCGAATTAACGACGAAAAAAAAATCGTCGTAAAAAATCATCGTAAAACAGAAATCGTCGTAAAATCGTCGTAAAATTACCAATCCAGGAAAATCGTCGTAATATCGTCGAAAACTATTCGACGTAAACGCGACGTAAATTTTCCAACGAAAGTACAATGAAATAAGTCCATCATAAGAACGACGTAAAATCGATGTAAAATTACATCGATTTAACAACGATTAGGAGACGAATAATTTCAATTAAGGGAAACTAATTTTTTAATTGTCGATGTTAATTCGTCGTAAAGTTTCGACGTAAATCCGACGTAAACATATTCGACGTAAATCCGTCGTTAAATATTCGACGTTAGATCGACGTAAATTTACGACGAATTTACGTCGATTTATAAATTAATTATTTAATTCGATTTTAATTTAATTAATGAATTTTTAAAATAATCAAAAAATTAAAATAGAAAAAACAATTTAAATTGAAATTTAAATTCGAAAGTAATTTATAAATAAAAGAAAAAATTTAATACAAATTGTTTTTTACAAAAAATCTAATCTACAATGTGATTTCGTAATCGTCGAGGTTGAGATCGACGTCACGAGGAGGCTCTCCGCCTTGGCCGCCCGTCGCTGCTGGACCGTCGTTTCCCGTCTGCATTACCGGAGCCGAAGACAGACCCTGCGTCTGCTGGTCCGATGGTCCAGTACCGGAAGTACCACCGGTCTCAAAGACCCCTCGTGCTCGTTGTTGCCTCGCTCGGATTGCGGTGGCCAACTGCGGAACCGCTTTCGCAATGATGTCGAAGAGACCGTGCATCTCGGTGAGCTCCTGCTTCTGGGCCACTTGCTCATGCCTGAGAGTGGTGATCTCAGCATTGGCCGTAGCAAGCTCCTGGCGAAGATGACTCAGATCCTCCTGCGTGCGAAATCCGGAAGCCGAGGCGGCAGGACAGTCTCTAATAGAGCCCATCCCTAAGGTTCGGCCCTTTTTCTTCGGAGCAACCTACAAATAGAAAATAAAAACGTTAATTATTTATTAAGTAATAAATATATTAAATTTTAAAAAAATTGAAATAGATCATACCTCCTCGAAAATCTGGTCTTGCTCAGCGACAGTCAACGGTACTTGGATAGTACCGTCAGGTGTGGCCTGGGTCTCCCGCTCGGCGATCCGCTGCATAGCGGCATTGTAGATCTCCTCTGACCGAGCGTCGACAAAGCTCCCGTCCCTCTTCCGGTGAGTGGTCTCGAAGAGCTTCGTCATTGGAGGTAGTTCTCCTCCGTTCTCCTCGGCCTACCAATTAATAAACATTAGTCAAAAATATTTAATAAATTATAGCAATAATTAAAAATGAAACAATAATGAAATAATTTATATTTAATTACTTACCATCATGAGACGTCTTCCCGCAAAAGATATTTGGCCAGAAGTGTGCGGAGTCACTAACTTCTGACCGTTAGGACCGATCCAGTTTCTGACGGCCAAACACTTAGCCGCAGTGGTTTGGGCATGCAGGTCCAGCCAATACGCCTTCAACTCGTTCCAACAGAAAGTGGACATGGAGCTCGGCTTTGCGTCGTCTCCATCGGTCTCCCACTTCCGCTTCCAATCGGAAACGGTGTTGACTAGGCGTTTCTGCGCCTTCAGCCGGAAAGCTTCGCGGACCGTCTCGTTGATCCCGATGTCCCAGTTCCACCGTTGCTGCAAAAGAAAACAAAAAATTATATAAACAATATAAAAGTAAGATTAATTAAATTTAAAATAATTTAAAATGATATAAACAAGATTTAAAAAACATTACCGCGAAGCACTTGTACCAGGTGTCGAACGTCTCTTGCGACACCTTGCTCCAGTTGTAGTGCGGCTCAACGAAATGACTCTTAATTGTGTCGGAAACGCTCCGACCGACACAATTATCCAAGTCAAACCTATGAAACCAAAAAAAAACATTACATTAATATTTAAGAAATTATAGCATTAATTTAAAACAATATAAACTTACCAATAAGAGCCTGGTTCCGCTTTTCCGGGAACCAGACGTCGTAAAGCCCCCCATCCCGGTAGGGCTAGTAAGTCCTCAACCGTAAATTGGGCATACGGATGAGGAGGGTGGGCCACCGGTTCGGGAGCCGGCGGTAGAGGTGGTGGTGGAGGTGGTGGTGGAGGCGGTGGTGGAGACTGCTCCGCTACGGTATTCGGAACCTGGGAGGCTCCGGAAGATGAAGGGACATCGGTCCCGGTGTTTCTCGAGGCAGACGCCCGGGAAGAGTGTCCGTCCGCCATAAAGTTGATGTAGTGCGTCCTCCGTCGAGTCATCGTCTGCAAAACCGGAAAATTTTTATTTTTGAAATTACAAATTAATTTTAAATTATGATCCTAAATCTAACAA